CAGTAAAGCCCTTTTCACAGGCACAAGTAAAATTTCCTCCTGGTTGACTGATGCAGCGTCCATGAGGTCCACATACACTGGATGAGATTAAACGAATGCCATTCCGAGTGGCATTTGTGAAGACTTCTATTGTACAGCTGTCTATTACTAGGAATAAGAGAAAATTATGCATATAAGCTACTCTCTAGGATAGAAGGCCGCCATAGAGCTGTGGTTTCTTAATTCTGGCACAAAATATTTCATTTAGGCTTCATATTTAAGTTGCACTAACATTTAGCAAAAAACCAACAAAAAAGTCTCTTTATGACACATCCTTGCATGGATTAGGGAACAGATACATTCTAAATATTACTTGCTAGTTCTTAGTATATGACATACAATACTCTTATAAAATAGTAATTGGCTTATCATTATCATTATGAAGGAACTTTGATATGTATTAGAACTTTCCCTCTGTACGATCTTTTAAATCTGCTCTAAATAGTTCCCAGTTCTCTGAATCAGATTTGGAGAGACAAAAAGTGGCTACAGAAAGACAGAGAATGTGATCCTCTACTAATGTCTGTTTCACTGGCACTCAAAATAGAATTCAATCTATAGCTGGGAAGCAAGTTTGATAATGCAAACAAGGTAAGAACAAGTGTATAAACTGATTATCTAATTTTATCTAAGAAAAAATGACTAACAGATCCTCTAAGGATAAGTAAAATAATTCATGTTCATCTCCATATATTTATTTTCTGTTGAAGGCCTGAGGTTTGTTAGTTCCCTTTCTTACTCTATTGGTTTTATTTTTAAAAAATCAAATTTACATGCATTCACGTTTGTCCTTCATATTGTTAAAATCTGTAATACTAATTAAGAAAAATCACCGAACATGATTTTTTCCTGAAAGAATTCTATTATTGTAATATTTCTGGCATTTGGATACATGGTCAAAATTTCAGAGGCAGACAGTACCTTTACAAGAGTTATTTTTACAATGATCCTTGAGGTGAGAGCAGTTCTTTCCATCGTAATCATCAGAGCAAGCACAGTAATAGTCTTCTCTCAGATCATAACACTGAGCTCCATTTTGGCAAGGGTTAGGCTTACAGAGATCTATATCGATCTACAAAAGATTTAAACTGCATTGTTAGTTTTGTAACAATATTCCACAAGTTAGTTAATTTTTACAGATTAGTTATGGACTTAAAAGAGAATGGTTTTCCACAGAGAGAAGTAGTATGTCACTAAAATGAAATTCTAATTTATATCAAGTGATAATTCAGCTTCTAGATGAATATTCTGACATTTGGCGCTCAAAGTGACTTAAATGGGGATCTCACTTCATTGAATTGGCACAAAAAGCCAACACAGTGCTAGGCTGCATTAACAGAGGGATAGAATCAAGATCACATGAAGTATTAATACTTTACAATGCCTTGGTAAGGCCACACTTGGAATACTGCATCCAGTTTTGGCCACCATGATGTAAAAAAGATGTTGAGACTCTAGAAAGAGTAGAGAGAAGAGCAACAAAGATGATTAGGGGACTGGAGGCTAAAACATATAAGGAACGGTTGCTGGAATTGGGTATGTCTAGTTTAATGAGGAGAAGGACGAGGGGGGATATGATAGCAGTGTTCCAATATCTCAAGGGGTGCCACAAAGAAGAGAAAGTCAAGCTATTTTCCAAAGCGCCTGAAGGCAGGACAAGAAGCAACGGATGGAAACTAATCAAGGAGAGAAGCAACCTAGAACTAAGGAGAAACTTCCTGACGGTTAGAACAATTAACCAGTGGAACAACCTGCCTCCAGAAGCAGTGAATGCTCCAACACTGGAAGTTTTTAAGAAGAGACTGGACAGCCATTTGTCCGAAATGGTATAGGGTTTCCTGCCTGAGCAGGGGGCTGGACTAGATGACCTCCAAGGTCCCTTCCAACTTTCTTATTATTATTATTGATCATCGCACAGTCAGCCAGATGTTCAGACTGGGTTTGGCATTTTGTCTACCTATCGAGTCCTTACCAAGGACCTGGGATAGGCAGATGTGAATGTTTGATGGTATTACAGATATCGTCGCAGGATGGAAGCAGTTCCTAGTAAGGCCGCCTTTTGCAATTGACTAATGGCGAATTTGTCAATGCCAATGGTGTTCAAGTGGTGCTCCAGTTGTTTTGGGATTGCACCGAAGGTGCCTATTACTATTGGTACTACCCTTGCTTGCTTTTGCCACAGTCTTTCTATTTCTATTTGTAGGTCTTTGTATTTTGTAATCTTCTCCAGTACTTTCTCGTCTATTCTGCTGTCTCCAGGCACTGCCATGTGCACTATCCAGACTTTTTTGTCTTTCTTAATGACAATTGTTAAGTCCGGGGTGTTATGTTGCAGGTACTTGTCTGTTTGAATTCTGAAGTCCCAGAGCAGTTTAATTTTATCATTTTCTATGACTTTCTCTATTTTATGATCCCACCAGTTCTTGCAGGCAAATGATCTTTCTTGCAGATCTTCCAATGCACTATTGTTGCTACTTTGTCATGCCGCTGCTTGTAGTCAGTCTGTAGGATCTTCTTGCAGCAGCTTACCAGGTGGTCCACTGTTTCTTCAGCTTCTTTGCGTAGGCAGCACTTACTATCTGTTGCTGTCTTCTCAATTTTGGCTTTGTATGCATTTGTCTTTAAGGCTTGGTCTTGTGCAGCCAGAATTAGTCCCTCGGTCTCTTTCTTCAATTTTCCTGCTCTTAGCCATTGCCAGGTCTTGTTATTATCTGCTTTCCCAGCTATTTTTTTTAATGTACTGGCCATGTAGTGCTTTGTCTTCCCATGCCTCTATTCTGTTTTTCATTTAGTCTTTCTTGTAGGCCAGTTTGGTCTCTCCAGTAGTCAGTAAGCCTTCCTGATATACTAATTTCAGTGCATCTTCATCACTGACCTTCAGATATTCTTCCAAAGCCATTTTTTCTTCTGCAACCATCTGATATACTTGCAGCATTTCACGCCCATCTATTTGCCTTGGTAGGTAGAGTCTGTCAATGTCACTGAGTGGATGAAGGGCATGATTCATTGTCATTATTTTTCTGGTCTTCCTATCCATTGCTTTTAGTTCTGCTTGAGTCCAGTCCACTATTTCAGCTGTGTATCTAATGACTGGAATTGCCCAAGTGTTGATTATCTTTATTATTATTATTATTATTATTATTATTATTATTATTATTATTAAACTTGTGGGTTAACTTTGGGAGAGTATGAGTGAGTGATTCAAAATCTTGGAACAAATTTTAATGGATAAAGGCAGTGTTGAACCTGGATCTTTCCAATCCTAGTCCAGTTTATTAATCAATAAAGCACACCGGCTGAAAGCATTACTCTGCTAAGAATTTCAGTTCAATAGATTGATTTTATTAATCTATTTCTCTACCACACTAATAAACCTGCCTTTTTCTATGCATCAAACTAAGCCTAAATTCTAAAACATAGACAGATAGACCCTAATTCTTATCTGAAAGGCTTCCTATAGAATTTCAGTTAAGATGCATCTCACACTTAAGATGTATTTGGTACCGGAGCTGATATAATAATAATAATAATAATAATAATAATAATAATAATAATAATAATAATAATAATAATAATAATAATAATAATAATAATAATAATAATAATAATAATAATAATAATAATAGTTGGAAGGGACCTTGGAGGTCATCTAGTCCAACCCCCCTGCTCAGGCAGGAAACCCTACACCATTCAGACAAATGGCTGTCCAGTCTCTTCTTAAAAACGTTCAGTGTTTATGTATGGCTCAGCTGCTATGCATTTGAAATCACTACAAAGCTAGTTTGTTTTTATAAAATCTGTAGCTCTGTGGAGTTTGTGGGACCATTTTCAGAAATTCATTTACATCCTATTTCTTATGCAGCAGCTAGCAAGTTTTCCAAAGAGAAAGGTAGCTTGACTGCTTTTCAATCCCTCACCTCAAAAGAACTGCTAGGGTTATTTTTTGTAGAAACAATTGTTTTCAAACTGCTTTGGGATTCTGGAGGTGAAAAAAGTGTAGAAAATATTATAGGGGTGGTTCTTCTTTAAAAATATTTGATTTCCAAGCTAATCATTTTAATTACTTTCTGCTAAACAGATGTAAATTTGAAATTTATTTTGTTTGAGAGCTGGACAAGATCTTTTACTCAATTGACAGTTCATCTAGCTCTGGGGTGGAAATTATTACTTATGGCTTGTTGTAAGATGAGAAGCAAGTTTGTTTAATTGCATTATGGGTATATTTAAAGTATCTTGAAGGTGATTTGTTACTATCATGATAAAGGTGGCAAATTTTAAAAATTCTGTCACTACAAAACTTATTGAATTGCACATACAAATTATTCTAAGGAACCATAATCTTAATATTGTTCTTTCTGTCAACTACAGGTATTTAAAAGAAGCATCTATTTGCATTAAGCTTTTCCACAAATTTCACCTAATAATCAAACACGTAAAAACACAACAAAATCATATTACAGCATTAAAACAGTTAAATGCCCAGATAATCCATTAAAAGATCTGGGAACTGGGATCAAGCTTAGCTGTATGGGACAACATCTTCCAATATGAGATTGATACAAGTTGTTTAGGCATACCTGAAAAAACTGTTCTCTTAAAATGAAGGTGCCCCTTTCTACAGATCTTAATGAGCCAGGCATTATTTTAGTACTAATGCTACAAATGAGCCAAAAACAATTAACAAAGAGAAATAATCTAGCATCATTTCTCATTTATGTTCTAATACACACAAAAGGTTATTTCAATAAAAGCACTCAATTCCTCAACAAAAAGGAAATGAATCTAGAGCAGTTGTTTGCTCCTAAATCACACATTGTGATTATAGCAGCATAGCCATATTAGAATGCCTGCATACTATCCAGTTGCTTGTAAGATAATATACAATACCTTTTTCCTTCTATACCTAACAAATAGTATAGGACTTTTTCACAAAAAATACCTTGGCCTGCTATATGCCAATGTATTAATTCAAACAGATTGACTGACGGAATGGTATTAGATGTCCAGATTTTTGCATGAAACAATTCCAGACAAGAGATTGGCCCTAACAATTCATTAGCCTGTTCAAATTTGAAGCAGATTATGATTTCCCCCCTGCAATAGAAATTAGATGTAGAGTACTAATCAATACTTCCAATCAATAATTCTATTCCTAAATGGACTGGACTGAAATGCAATAAGCATCGATTTACAAACCTACCCATTGAACATTAGGGTTAGAATTTGATAAATAGTATGTAACAGTGATGGTGGAAAGTATAGAAAGGGAGGGAGGAAAGAAAGGAAGGAAGGAAAAGAAAGAAAGAAAGAAAGAAAGAACACTGTTGTATATTCCAAATATGCTACTACTTTAAAAAAAATAGTGCTCATAAGAGGGAAAGATTGAGAGCATCCTGAAGAAGTGTCCTTCCAAGTACTTCCTTTCCTCAAAAGGCTTATAACAACAATTAATTTCTACTGCAGTAGCTGACATATGCTATGAAGCAAAATCACTTAACTGGGATCTAGAAGAATTTGAGGGAAATGAAAGGACAGCTTTCTGTTGTTAACAAAAAAAGGAAGAAAACGAAAAAGGAGAAAGAAAATGAAAAAGAAGAAAAAGAGTGTTGGTGAGCTCTTAATGGGCTCTTTCTTTTGTGTCCCACTATGCTTAGATGGCAGGACTATTTTGCACCAAATTTGCTTGTTCCTGTGTTGCATTCATCCACAACAACAAACATTCAAGTTGCTCTAGAATTCAGCCTATTCAAGTATTCTAACAAGTCTAAAGTATCCTTCACCTCACAGAATTCTCCTGAGAAGCCATGAGGGCAAAGACAATGGAATCCATTGACGAGGTTAGTACAATGACCTGCATTCTGACATGGGTTGCTCGTGCAGTCATCAACTTTTTTTTCGCAGTTCTTGCCTATGAAAGCAGGAGGACATGTGCAATGATAGCCATTCACTTCATCCTGCATGGAAAAATTGAAAAAAACATTATAATCATTTCCAGAAGGTACTAGAAAATTTTTAATGAATGAAGATTACAACTTAAAAGACATTCCAGATAGTTTCTAAAAAGAATGACTGGGCCAATGAATCCTCTAGGCTGATTCTCCGTTAACTTTAAATCAAGGCCCATTGATTAAAGTACTGGAATGTCTACTTGACTATAAAAGTAAAGTGACTATTTCTGCCTTAAATTTTTAAAAACAAAGCTGATGAAGCACATGGGTTTAAAGAAGAAACCATTAAACCCATAAGAAAATTGTTTGGGATGAGTCCAGTGCCAAGCAATTCAATGTCACTAAAGTTTCATGTCTAGAAAAAAATAACTTAATGGCTTCGTTTATGCGTTAGATTCATTGCTTCCACCATTATGCTTATTTATTATTCTAAGACAACTGTTATGGTCTGTTTAGAAAAAGCGTCCATCTGAATATTTCTGTTTTAACTTATTGATATAGAGACTATGCCACACAAAAGGCACAGAAGAAAGTTAAGTTGCCCAATAATTTTGCATCTGAAATTTTAGAATTACTGTACAAATGCTTCATAATCAGTTTGTTCTAAAACAAACTAATGAACATTTTAGTAGGATTATTCCCAGTTAACCTCTAAATGCTCACATATGGATTTGAATTGACTTTCCTTTTTAACAGTGTTTAAATCTTAATTTGCATTTCTACTTTCTAGTGTCATAAACATTAGGGATACATACCCGAATAAATATTTTCTGAAATACCTCAGAACTCTTCCTTATGGTCTTAATTACATTTGAGAATAATGTAATCCTCAAAATGTAAATAATCCTCTTATTTACAGAAAGGGGGCAATTAAAAGTCAGACAGTATCCTACCCTACTGGTTTTAATATACCTAGTCCATATTATCAAAAACTTGGATTTAATGTTCATTTTATCTCCTTGATTTCACTGGATGAATTTATTTATTTATTTATTTATTTATGACTTCTGTGGCTGCCTATCTGCTACAGGTAGCCCTTACTTAACAAACATTTGTTCAACAACTATTTGAAACTATGATGGTGCTGAATGAAGCACTTACAACCTGTGTCCTATTGCAGTGCCTGCTGCTGAGACATGATTGCGATCAGGTGGTCTTCACCTAATAACTGATAGGATTCAATTATCAACAGCAATAGAGACTGTGATGTCAGTGATGGAAATTCAGGTCCCAATTACTGTCACAATTCAAGGGCTACCTATACATTACTGAAAGTATATTCCTGAATGGCTGTCGACTATGCATTTGAATCCTGAACTGTGTAATGTATTGCCCATACATGAACAATTGCTACAGTATTATTCATCTACAAGATATAAAGAATTAAAAGGGCGAGGTTAAGACAAATGTTATTAGGGTCCAATTATGATTGTCCTGATAAATTTTAAATTTAAAAGGTTGCTCAAAGAATCATAAAACAACAGAAAAAATACCTTGCAAATCCCTCCATTTTGGCATTGCCCATGACAATAATTAACATCTAGGGATAAAATAGGAAAAGCATTAAAAATAATGGAAATAATAGACTGAAGCATAGTTAATGTTATCTGTTGATTTCAAATATTCAAACTGATGTTTTCCAGAGGAAAGGAAATAAGAATTTTATGAGTGATGCAAATTTGAAAGAGCCCAAATCATAAAGTCAAGCAATATTTAAAACATATTGACCCATGTGAGTAATTTCTCAGAAACTTTTAGTTAGTTCATTCCATAATTCAAAAGCTAAGGCTTTAGATGCAAGGAAGTACGTGATAAAAGTGTCATTGTAAAGGCTTGTATAAAAGATAGGTTTGGAAATGACACATGTGCATTAATTTGTTTTTAGTCTATAAATAAGAGACCCTTAAGATCAAGGGTATACACTAAATATTAAATACTGACTGATATGACAATTTACTCCTTTCCATCCTGGAATGCAGTCACAATAATATCCACCAATAAGATTTTTGCAAGAATGAGCATTAAGACAGGGTTTCCCTTCACACTCA